AAGAATTTCATGTCACATAATTTGTCACACTCTATCTTGGAAAAGGGGTTGTAAAATCCTGTTTATGGCCAGTACGTCTCGTTGAGTGAAAACATTTTCTAACCTACTTTTCCACGGGTTCTTCCTTGTTCTGTTACATATATTGCCTAACCACTCTGGCTCGTGCCAGTCACTATCAATGGATGTTTGAGAGTCTGTGCAAAGAGGGTTTTTTTTTATTTTAGTAGCACTTCACTTTCTTTGAGAATGGTGGCACAGAGGCCACAGTGGTATCCCTGTTCTTGATCACAGGATCAGTGGTGTGGCTTGTGGGCTGGGTTTAATTCTCCACCTGTTTGGTGTATGAGATTACATGCAGAAGAAATGCAGAGGGATACGCAGTGCGTGTCTCTAAAGAGGAGGCTGCCGTTTTCCCCCCACAGTCTACATACACAACGGCCGTGTCAGAACTGTCGCCAGCCTGCTTGCCGAACTTAATCTGACAGCACCCAGCCATCCATAATCCCTCACTGTATCGTAATCTATTTACTCTGCATTCTAAGAGGATTTTTTTTTTTTTTGTTAAGTGTATATACAAGATATGTAAATATGAATTAATGCTGGAAATTGAGGAAGGGTCAGGAGAGGAAGCTTTTGTGTTGTCACCTCTGTTTTTATGTCCGTCTGTTGCTTATTCTTTGCACGTTTTCAGGAAAATCAGTTACATTCTGTTGTCACCGTATCATAGCATATTTTAAACATCACTTTACATGTAACTGTCTATTGTAACATGTTACACTCTTAAAAATAAAGCTTCTTTATTGACGTCTATGGTTTGTGAAAGAACCTTTAACATCTATGGATCCTTTCCATTGCTCAAAAGATTCTTCACTGTGGAAAAAAAAAACCTTTTGGATCCTTTATTTTTAAGAGTGTATACATGTTATATATATATAGTGTCTGTGCATTTTATTTGTGCATTAATTATGATAATTGTTCAGATAACTCACCATTATTAATGTGTTCATCTGATTATCTAGCAGTTTTCAAGAGGCATCTGTCTTATTTGAATTATATTCATATTGTTTTTTAATTAGTCTGGCCTCCATTCACTGATTGTGTGCCAGGAACCATTTTCAACAGCTCAGACTAAATCTTAAAAATTTATAATCACACAGGATTATTTGAGAGATCACAGTTTTTCTGTGAATGACAACCTTGTAATCCTGTGTTGTCAAACTAAGAAAATGTTTTGGATCAAACAGTCTTTTTGGCAAAGATGCTGAAATTTGATTGGCACATAATTGGGTTTGGTAGATGAGCTTATTTCATAACATCAAGAACCATTGTTAGTTTCTTTTAATGAGTTATGATATGGAAGCTTAGATGAGCTGATCATGTTTGTGTATTTTGCAGTATTACAGTCTTGGCCACGAGTTCATGCTTCTGATATTTTATTTTAATATTAAAAATGTTTAACTTTATAACCAATGGTACAAGTGCAGAAGTTTTACTCCTGCTGTGGTAAGTTTAGTGTTCATGAGTTTCTGTGAGCATCAAGAGCCTGGTGTTCTTCAAAGTTCATCAACGATCTGTCATCTGATTCAAGCAGCTGTTATACTCCACCAATCTGCACATACAAACAGTCATCCACTGTTAGTGTTCATTTCCTGGCGGGCTGTGTAAGCAGAGAGCAAACTGGTTTTCAGTACTCACTAGCTCACACCAGGCCTCAGGGTTCATCTGAGCGCCATCTTTCAGACAGTGAGGTGATGACGTCACAGTCTGGTCACTTGATATGAGAAAAATGAACTGGACAAACTGTTCTCAGCTCAATTAAGAGTTAATTAACTCTTCCCATTTTAATTGCTGCTATTAAGATCAATTATGTCACCACTCAGATTGGATTGTACTGTTTTGTCAGCCAACACTTGAGTGGTAAAACATGGTAGCCTATAGCCTACATTAACGGAGAGATCTGTTCCAGTCTCTAGCACATTAAACCTTTTTGTGTGTTTATATTTCTTTCTTCCATATAAAGAAAATAATTCCATATCACAATTTACCTTTTTTTTAATTGACTAAAAATGTCAACTAAAAAAGTTGTGAAACCAAGAATTTCCTTTGCACCAGGAGCGTATAACGTTCTCAAACCTTTTTCAATTACATTTTTTGTTCAAATAGGTCATATTTTTTCTGCAATATATATCAAACTGTTCTTATTATTCCTGTACCGAGCAAAACGCGCCTTTCATTTATAAACAACTACAACAATAATAATTAATGATTGTTATACAATTCTTCACTGCTTATTTAAAAGCAAGCACTTTTTAAAATTATTTCAGCATTTAATTAGATCGTTTGGATTTTGTTGAAAATAAAAATAAATACATTTTATTGAAGAGCTGTATTCAAGTGACTGTATGAATCTTTTTTTAAAATAATGATTTACTTCGTTAATACAACAAACTCAGTAAATCGCTAATACGTTGACCCAAATAACTTAAAAGGTTATAGTTTAATAGGAGCTACAGTCTGTAGCCTACCTAAACTGTGAATGTATGGTCAGCTACGGAGTTAAAGTTAAAGCTATATATGAGCTCAGCAAGTGTCCATCCTGACCAAGTGCCATATTGCCGTCTGCCATCTGTTCCTAAGACCTCCGCGTCAGTACTGTAGGAATAAATCCCTCTGGTGGTTTTCCCACCCTCAGCGTTTCTGTAACTCACGGAGGCCTGGAGTCAGCATCTCGCCATCTCAGCAAACCCTTCGCTCATCACACTTCCGTTTTCCCATTAATGGTTTTGGTCAGTAATCTCTTTTACTGTGTTCACATGTAATAATATGGTGCCAGTTGTGGACGAGCAGTCCCACTCGGATGACATTTGGACATATGAGCATATCAGCAAGGCGAGAGTGGATTGCCTCGTACAGCAGTAATGGAAGCGTCCTATCCGCCTCATGAAATGAGAGAAAATTCTACGTTTAGAGGACAGACCTTCAAAAAAAGAACAAATAAAAAATACTTGACTGAGGGAAGTTAGCTTCTCAAGCTTTTTGCTCTAATAGTTTTTCTTTTAGTTTAAATAATTGTATTCGTTTAGTGTGAATCATTAAGTTTTTATTAAAATAATAATAATAATAGGCTAATAAAATATTTGAAAATGAGACTAAAACTAACGTAAAGCGTTCTCAGTATAGCCTATATTGTATTTGAGTTGTGGAAGCCTATAGTAGCTATTAGCCTATAACTCAAACTTCTGTCAAAGGCAGATGCCCTCCAGGTGAAAACTGATTAAACAATATATTCTGGTTGAGTAAATGACAATATAACAGCTGAGATCGTTCTCAGAACGGAAATTTGAAATGAAAGAACGGCTTATTTGGGACAAAATAGCCTAGCCTAGCCTAGGCTACGCGAAATATCGGACCAATACAGGTTAAGTGAGACGGTTTAATCACTTTATCGTTGTTTACTATATAGCCTACTTTTTACAGTTTTAAAATTAAATTTAGTTTTGTTCTTTTATTTTTCATTAGTTAAAAAGTTTAAGCAAAATTATTATGAGAATGTTCCTCTTGTATCCCTACCATTCAACTCGACTTTAATTTAAAATAACGTCACATGCCAGGCTTTAAATTTCGAAAATCATTCTAGGCCTATTTCAAAATATGAATAAAATTGGATGAACGTTGGCAGTTGATGAGTGCTTAAATGATGACGTAAGAGGCTGTTATTAAAGGCGTGACGTTTTAGAAACCCAGTCAAATATTATATGTAGCCGGACAACTCGTCTTCCGCCTTGCCAACAAGTGTAGGCTATAAGGACGAAACATCTGAAGACTGGAGCATGATTTATTCCGGTAGCATTGCGTCCAAAAATCATTGTTGGCGGTTACTAATAGAGTGTAAAATAAATGACAAACTCTCTGAGTTAATGGACATGGATTCACCTCGCCAGAATTATGCCAGCGTCAGTTGAAAGTGTTAGAACGAACAGGCCCTAAAGTTTTCTCTTTCTCACCCCTCGGGCTTAAGCAGGTGCTCCACGCGAGGGAGTGTTCGAGCTCCTCAAATTATTCCCCAGGTAGACAGGACGCAAATGTTTGTTTGATGCAAATCGTACAAATCCATTCATGTTCATGTAGTGTCGCTGAGCTGCGGTGGCGTCTCAATGCGAGCACTGTAAAACAAATACGCGTAATGTTCTCCTGAGCCAGGTGTTGATTCAGCTGCCAGGCCAACACATCAATAATTAGCACACAAAAACACCGAAGCTGATTAAAGTCGAATGGGTTGTGTACATTCTTTCTATCCGCTGCTTAATCGACCAAAAGAAAACTTTTTCTGTTCGAACACGTTCATCTAAACAGCTTTGCCGAGCCCTTGTTTTTCTCCAGCTACTTCTTTAATGGCCCGGTGCCTGACGGCTGCCTCCCTCCCGCTTTTGACCCATTAACCCAGACCCACCCACGTCATTACCGAATCAGAAGAGGCGAAATCGCTCCGGGTTATTTTGGCGAAACGCTCTTGTGCTCCAGAGCGCGCGGAGATTCTGCTGGGAAGCAATTATCGCGAGCGCATTCAATTACGACCTGATCAAATGCGTTAATAAATATTTAAGAAATTTTGCGGTGCCGTGGCCTTTTAACAAGTTTGCACAAAAGACCTTCAAACGATTGTATGTTTTCTAAAGACCAAATGAACATAGCCTAGTTCAAGTCCACGGTTTAAGTTTTAATCAGTTTTTACACCCCTGCACACACACACACATTTACAGCATCCATATCCATAGCAAATAACCGGTTTATTAAGGAGGAGCAAAAACGTAATCCTTTCCACATAATTAAATAAAAAAATAAAAAAATAAATCAGTGGCATGCGATTTGACACACACACACACACACACACACTTTAAAATCCTCACAGTCCTATTAAAATAAACCAATGAATTTCCTCACGTTTAGTGCAGATAATCATTCGGCTGTCGATATGGTGCACAGGTTAAAAAAAAAAAAAAAAAAAAGGAAGTATTAGGCATGTAAAATTCGTTCTAAATCCAAACTGTATCCAGCATCTCACCAAATAAATAAAATTGAGGTGCGTTTATTGAATTTTTAACTTATTTATTCGTTTGTTGAGAGTTGAAAACATTTGCAACATCACGAAAATAAATTTTGGATGTTAAAATTGGACATACCCCAATCAGGAGTCATGTGATATTTTGGTAGTTAACTGATCTTTATTACGGACATGAATGTAATGATCTGCGCCTGCAGTAGCCTACATTCAGCATTTCACTGGCATTTGGGAATTCTTCCTTAAACCACATTTCGTTATCCACATGATTTATTTTCCGGTTAGAGCAATTAAGGCAAGTGCTGTTAAATGCATCCAACAATTTTAATCATGCCCGTACTCTTCCACCGCAACAAATCGTCAAATGCTAGTTACCTTGGAATATCACAACCAAATATCCCCCGCTCTAAAAATGTCCAAAGTATAATTAAGTCTTGTTTTTTTCTTCAAATTTTTATTTTTTTTCCACATGGTGTTCTCAATATAAAATCCTATTTATTTATTTTTATCTTTATTTTTCAGGGTAACAAAAATTGGTTTTCGTTATATCAAATAAGACCAGCGGCCAATTCTTGATCTTTGGATTATTTGGGAAAAATATTTACATAAAGTCGTTTCAAAGTCTTATTAAACCATTTGAAATCCAGTAACACCAACTAAATATGGTCAATGTAACTGACCCAAATACATATGTACACAATTCAGCTCCGTTAAGCTGACTAGAATCTGTCATCCTAAAAAATAACCATATTTAGAAAAACGAAACAGCTGTACAGGTTTGAGAGGTGGAGGTAAAACGGTCGCTGAGCATTCAGTGTCCCGTGTAGAAAAACGGTAATCCAGATCAGGCAGGAGAGTGACGCGAGTCCGGCAGAACACTTCAGAACCAGAACTCTGGGTCGTCGAGTAAATCTAATTAAGTCTCTTCAGGGAAGAACAAAAAAGGGAAAACTAGCTTTCATTTCCCTCCACAACTTTGCCGTTTTCCCCCTTTCTTTTCTCTAAAAAAAAGGGGGGCTCACTTTTCAAAATGTGATGCACATCTAAATATTGTGTTCAAATCTTTGTCCATATATTTTTTTCCCTTAAACTCAGCACACTATTAAAACAGAGAGATGGTGAAAACAGAGGGCATTAAAAAAAATCAGATCACAAGACTTGGAACCTCCAGGACGCTTGGTCTTTGTAGTCCAAACAGTCTGTAGTGTTTAAATTGAGCTTCCAGGAGGAGGCCGTTTGCTCCTTGTAATCCAGGCAGTCAGAAGAATTGAAGGCCAGGCCAGTGCCACTGTAGGCCTGGTGATGATGGTGGTGGTGATGTCCTGAGGACTGACTGATGTGGTGGTGGGGGTGCGTGGGCATGGACGACGCTGTCATAGGGCTGAGCTGATGAGGGTGGTGGTGATGAGAGTGCATGGGGGCCAGATAGGAGCCACAGTCCACTCCGCTGAAGTAAGAACTGGAAGGAGTCGGGTAGCCCTGGCTGTAGCCGGTGGTCTGGTTGTAGGGCATGGGGTAGGAGGAGCCAGCAGTGCCTGAGACGGAGCGCTGCATGCAGGAGGTGTTTGCGGGAGCGACGGGCTCCGGCAGGGAGACAGACGGGGGTGCAGAGCCTGGAGAAATGGCAGGGCTCCAGATTGAGGAGACAGTACTGATAGAGGTAGAGGTGCTACCAAGTGCTGTTAAATGCATCCAACAATTTTAATCATGCCCGTACTCTTCCACCGCAACAAATCGTCAAATGCTAGTTACCTTGGAATATCACAACCAAATATCCCCCGCTCTAAAAATGTCCAAAGTATAATTAAGTCTTGTTTTTTTCTTCAAATTTTTATTTTTTTTCCACATGGTGTTCTCAATATAAAATCCTATTTATTTATTTTTATCTTTATTTTTCAGGGTAACAAAAATTGGTTTTCGTTATATCAAATAAGACCAGCGGCCAATTCTTGATCTTTGGATTATTTGGGAAAAATATTTACATAAAGTCGTTTCAAAGTCTTATTAAACCATTTGAAATCCAGTAACACCAACTAAATATGGTCAATGTAACTGACCCAAATACATATGTACACAATTCAGCTCCGTTAAGCTGACTAGAATCTGTCATCCTAAAAAATAACCATATTTAGAAAAACGAAACAGCTGTACAGGTTTGAGAGGTGGAGGTAAAACGGTCGCTGAGCATTCAGTGTCCCGTGTAGAAAAACGGTAATCCAGATCAGGCAGGAGAGTGACGCGAGTCCGGCAGAACACTTCAGAACCAGAACTCTGGGTCGTCGAGTAAATCTAATTAAGTCTCTTCAGGGAAGAACAAAAAAGGGAAAACTAGCTTTCATTTCCCTCCACAACTTTGCCGTTTTCCCCCTTTCTTTTCTCTAAAAAAAAGGGGGGCTCACTTTTCAAAATGTGATGCACATCTAAATATTGTGTTCAAATCTTTGTCCATATATTTTTTTCCCTTAAACTCAGCACACTATTAAAACAGAGAGATGGTGAAAACAGAGGGCATTAAAAAAAATCAGATCACAAGACTTGGAACCTCCAGGACGCTTGGTCTTTGTAGTCCAAACAGTCTGTAGTGTTTAAATTGAGCTTCCAGGAGGAGGCCGTTTGCTCCTTGTAATCCAGGCAGTCAGAAGAATTGAAGGCCAGGCCAGTGCCACTGTAGGCCTGGTGATGATGGTGGTGGTGATGTCCTGAGGACTGACTGATGTGGTGGTGGGGGTGCGTGGGCATGGACGACGCTGTCATAGGGCTGAGCTGATGAGGGTGGTGGTGATGAGAGTGCATGGGGGCCAGATAGGAGCCACAGTCCACTCCGCTGAAGTAAGAACTGGAAGGAGTCGGGTAGCCCTGGCTGTAGCCGGTGGTCTGGTTGTAGGGCATGGGGTAGGAGGAGCCGGCTGTGCCTGAGACGGAACGCTGCATGCAGGAAGCATTTGAGGAAGCGACGGGCTCTGGCAGGGAGACAGATGGGGGTGCGGAGCCCGGAGAAATGGCAGGGCTCCAGATTGATGAGACAGTACTGATAGAGGTAGAGGTGCTACTGATGCCTGTGTTATTGGTTGAGGAAGAGGAGGAAGAGCCAGCGCTGGAGACGGCAGGAGGGGTGAACTGGCCGCTGCTCTCTGAACCCGTGCTCTCCCGGGTGGGTGAGGATTTCTTCTTTGCGGGCCGAGCTTTAGTGCTGCTGCCACTCTGCTGCTGCTGACGACATTTAGCACGCCGATTCTTAAACCACACCTGCAGGACAGAGAGAGGAAACAAACACTTAAAATATGCTTTAAAATTCTGGTTGAACAACTCCTTTAAAAAAAACAGAGGCATGAAAATACGATAGCACAGTCCATTATATCCGATACACAAACACGCATACACAGAGAGCTCCATTAAATGATTATGGAGACCTTCCGTGCATGTCTGAAGGACATGTTGGAGAGCCATTGTGCAACATCAGAGTGGAAAATAGCTAGTTATTACCAGTTCCTGGCTTTAATTTGCATGCAGGGCCTTTCTGCTTTACTGTGTGGATCTAATTTCAGTGCTTGTAGACGGCTGGGTGATAGCAGCCTATTGAGTTTCTCCGCAGAGATGGTAATTCAATAGTGGAAGGAGGGTCTGACCGTGTAAAGCATTTTGTTTCATGTGCTTATTAAGAGCAAATAAAATTGCTTGGGAAATTGACAGAGGGTTGCTCCTTTAGGCCTCAGATCACTTCAGAAAAAGCATTATTTGCATGAAAAAATCTACAGTAGACTGTGGGAATTTTACATTTCCTCATCACTGATATTTACATCAACTTCAAGGTAGAGTGAGCCTTTTAATCACAGTGTTCATCAGTACCATTTGGTCTAAATATCCACATTTCTTCAGTAAAATCAGTTCAATATGCACAAACAAATGCACCAAACACTATTTTGGTTTGGAGAGTACAAATTATTCTAGCATAATTATTCAATTCTGTCATGCTGCATAATTTAAACATATCAAAAAAGAAAAAGAAAGAAAAAGAAAAAAAGTAGCAGAAATCACCTGGCAATTAACCCTAGTTATGTAATGGCTGTATAACTAGGGTGACAAAATGTTAAAAACACCTAGGAGTCTATAATAATAATAATAATAATAGCAACATTATTTCTTTATTTTTTTTACAATTGTTGCAATTATTATTACAGACTCTTATGTGTGTTTTTAAAAAACTACTACGAACTTTTACGAAAATCAGTAGGGGGAGCAGCTGAGCATAACTAACGTTTTTGGAAAATTGTCATAGATTAAATAGTTTCTTAGAAAGAAAAAAAAAAATGTTCTCAAACATTCAGTGGTTACATGTACCTGAACTCTGGACTCGGGAAGGTTGATCTTCAGCGCCACCTCTTCTCTCATAAAAATGTCCGGGTATCGAGTTTTGGCAAAGAGCGCTTCGAGAATGTCAAGCTGTGAGCGCGTAAATGTCGTTCTTTCCCGCCGCTGCTTTCTGGGTGTTGCTGCAAATAATAATAAGAAAAAAGGTCATAAGTGTACACACAATAGCAATATTACGCTTTATAGAAATAGTGGAAATGTCTGCTTAGATGTGAAATAGCTTCAGGACATTTTAAAGTAGCCTACTATTTTCGGAAATTATTATTATTATTTTCATTTATTTGACCTCAAAGCGGTTTAAAAATTGTAGCGGGCTACTTTACAGAGGTTTTGTGGATTATCTTTAAAAAACATGTTGCAACGACGATGCAATAAGCATGTTAGGCCCAGCAAGTTAGGAACAAAAATGTACAATGTCAATAATATAATTTTTTCCCCTTAACTGAAGTGCCTGAAACAGTTAATAAATTTATTTAAAAAAATAAAAAATAAATTAGGAATGAAAGAAAGGAAAAAAAGACGGGATTCATACTCGCATACAATGCTCGCGTATATCGCTGCGTTAAACAGTTTATAATGCTCGTAAAACGTGTACCTGGGTATCCGACGGACGGGTGCAGCAGGTCCATGGCTGCGCCGCTCAGCCCCAGGCCGTTCATGGCGTAGGGGGGCTGTTTGAGGTATGACATCATGCTAGAGGCAGTCACGGGTCCCCCCAGATCTTGCCAATAGTTCGATTTCCCCCGATGTTGCAGTTTGACGAAGGACGGACCCAATTTATGTTACTGAAATGCGATTGCAATAACACAAATAATATTAACAGCTGATATGCTTAACTAGGAAAAGAAAGTACGAAAAATGCTAAGTAAATTAAACGTGTCGACACGAGAAAGTATAAATAAGCGATAGACAACCTAATTGATTGGTTTAAAATAACTAAGAATTTATCTATAACCTTTTTCGATAATAGCCTAATGTAGCCTAATAATAATAATAATAATAATAATAATAATTTGGTTTAAAATAACTAAGAATTTATCTATAACCTTTTTCGATAATAGCCTAATGTAGCCTAATAATAATAATAATAATAATAATAATAATAATAATGACAACGAATCTTATTTCTCTTTTCTAAAAAAAAATGACGGCATAATGGTGAAAACGGCATACCAGCACGCAAATTATAATTGCATTCCTAAATATTTCTATAATTGTACATGTATATAATTGTGTGTGTGTGTATATATATATATATATATATATATATATAATAAAACACATGCATATATAAAACACACGCATATAAAATATTTAGCAAACGTTGACTATTTATTTTACATTATTTTTAAAGCACTGATTTAAAATTTTAAATACGGCTCTGCGGAGCTTGTCTATCTTAACGGGGCATTTAAGACCAAATCTGTGCTGTTTCAAAGTAGGCCTACTTATAAAAAAAAATTAATTAATCTTTATTAACGCGTTGTACTAGTTTGTTGGTCATTCAATGTTTAACTAAATTTAGGAGACGACTGGTTACCTATAGGGGAAATTAATGTGGATGGGCCCCGTGCTCAGAGAACCGAACCGCTTATAGAGTTCTGTGTATTCCTATCTATTCCTTGCTTATTCTTTACTCTGTAAAGACTAGTTAGAAAGAACACATCTACGTGCAAATTAACTCAATTATAATGCAGATTAGACCTCTGGGGAAACGCCTTAATTTCTTGGCCTTATCACCAAAATAAATTAACAAAAACCAAAACACGCCTCTCCAATTGAGCTGGTTTACACTGCGGTGATGAGTTGATCTTTGCAAAACTACTCGCGTTCGTTTCAAACAGACGGGTCGCTATTTTTTTTTTTTAGATTTAATTCATTTTTAAATTAATGTACTTCTAAGCGATTATGACAATTACCAGACTGTTTACAGCGTAACTTAAAAACAATACTGACGTCGGTACACAGAATAGAAGGAAACAAAAAATAAAATTAATAATAATAATAATAATAATAATAGGCTAATAAAAACTTTTGCACACTCCTTTCAAGAGGACCAAATTTATCTACATAGAAAACAATGTTTTGCCAATATTAACACAAACTTTAACACTGAAACTTGTATTAGTTCCGTTTTGTGAAAGTGTTAAACGTTAACAAAAAAAAAAAAAGAGAAAATAATCTAAATTAAAAGACGCAATTGTTTTTACCTTTTCCAGAACCCTCCGTCCTTCTCCTCTCCTGAATTGTTGCAGTCTGACCAGAAGATACAAAAATATCCACCAATGCAAGAGTTCAGAAAGGCAAACCGACCGAGGAACCTCACCAAATAAATGTCGTCTAAAACTCTCCTCAAAGCTGCAGATACGCAGCAATGTTGATATGACGCACGTGTCTGGCCTTTAGCTGGACTTGTTGTAGGCTAGTCTATTCAGAGAGTGTTCCCGGGGTTTAAAACCAAATACATTAAACTCGTTGGCTTTGGCTTTCTCATTCGTGTCTGTCACTAGTTTAAGGTGATTGCTAATGTAGACGGATGGAGATTGATCACCTTCTCTTAACCCTGCCTCTCTAAGAGCGCAGGACACCTGCAGATCCGCCCACTCCAGCCAATCGCCGCGCAGTCTCTGCTTGATTGACAACTGTACCAGCCAGTCCATGGGTTGAACATCCTTAAAGCCCCACCCCGCGCTGACTAAAGACATCAAGAACAAGCTCCGTACAAGTAAATCTTTAGAATTTCGAGAAGACCTAAAATATAGAGAAAATTGTAGACAATACAGTTAAACATTTCCTAAAATTGAAGACAGATGGGAAAATAGGCTATATTAGAATCTGGGCTTCACATACAAAAGTCGTTTTAAAATTAAGGTAGGCTATAGAGTGAGCTTTAAACATATTAAGCCTAAACCATTTAAATTATACTATTTTACCGAAAGACTTAACGATTGCGATATAGACAGACACAGGAAGTCGTGTAAAATCTAAACAATATATTTGTCTAAAAGCTTAATTAAAATTATAACTGTTTTGAGTCTTGAAATGTACGTTTTCCAAACAAATAAAAATAAACATTTTTACATTAAAATGACAAAAGTGACATTATCGCATATTTAAATAGGCTAGTATTCATTTATTAATTCATCTAAATGCAAAATTTATCAACGTGGATTAAACAGTGTAATATAATTAAAGCTATGCATATCCAAAATCCAAGCAGTAAAGGACATCAAGGCCTTTACTGAAATGTCTGACATCACGCAAAAAATTCCACCGCAAATTCACAAAGTATCGTTTGATACAGAATTTAAGACTCCCTTTAGCGATCGATTCGTGTTGTCCATCGATTTGAAGCGGTGTAAAATGCAGCAAAAAAGTTTAATTTATACACTTTATCTATTTTAATTTTTATTGTTACCCCGCCTAATGAATATTAATGAGTGGCTAATCCCCACTTAGAATTACATTTCAGAATAGTGTGCGTAAAGTTTAATAGGCAGACGGAGAGGAAACGTGAAAGGGAGTGAAGAAAAACTCGGCCCTTCCAGAAAAAAAAAACGAAATCAGCACATAGAGAGTCTGAGCCTCAGAGAATCAAAGAAAGCACCTTTCAAGCCTCACTTTCCCAAAGAAATGCCAATAAAATACGGTAACAGAATATCACGGAGGGCGCGGTGTTTCCTTAACTGTTTCTGAAAGACTCAGAAGATCTTAATAAGGCTTCGCTCGGTCCTTTTGTTGATCTCACAAAATCAACTCATTCTAATTGAGGCCTGAGCTGAAAGCGACCTAATGTTCAAAGCAAGTGACCGCCGGAGGAACGTAATTACATTTTTACTATATGGGGCATCCAATCAAAGGCCGGGCGGCTTTACACGTTCTTCTATAGATCAGCAAAGTCATCGACAAAAGTAGCCTATACTCTTGGGAGTAACAGAGATGCCGCTGTTAGCCGTCAATAGATGCGAAAAAACTAAAGGGAAAGTTATTGGATACTGCATAGAAGTATGGAATGCACATATTAAATGTTTATACTGCCTGTTTAAAGCACAAGTGTTGGCACCAGGCCACCAAAAAGGCCGATTCCACCTGTTCTTACACTATTTACACGGATAATAATAACAAAATGTGATCCCAAATGCACACAATATAAATATATACAATTCCTGCATTTTGTCCGTTTGCTATTTAATCTCTCGGCCCTGATGTTGCCAAGACCCGTGATAAAGCCAGAAAAAGTATCACGTTATCAGGTTGCAAGAAGCTTTTGTAATAAGAGTATTTTGTCTAATCCCAAATTGCAGCCGAATTTTCTAAATGCTGAGCTCGTAAATCTCGGGATTAGAGGAGGCGAGAAGAGGAGGGGGAAAAGTTTGGTTTCTTTAGCCGGCAGGATGGGAGCGGGTCGGCGATGTTGTCGGTCCTTATTAAAACGACGATGCATAAAATACGATATTGAAGCTCGTACAGAAGGCTCGGTACCGATTCCCCCGGTGTATTTTAGGACGAGGGAAGGATTTTCGGCGGTCGAGGGGCTTCGTGAAGTCCAACAGCACAACACCTGAAGTCAGGCCGTGGACTTCAAAGCAGCTGGATCCACAGAACGCGCTCGGGGACTCGCGCTGAGATGCTCTACTTTTAGCACCGTTTTGGAGAGCTCCTTTTTTATAAGAATATCTATTTTAAAAGCTTTTTAAAATGCATTTTTTTCCACTAAACATACTGTTGGTTTGAGCCTGAAAACAATGATCAACGATCAGGTAAGGGAATTAATTGTGCATTGTGGCAATGCTACTGCATGTGAATGTGTGAACTAGAACGACCCAGATCACGTGTTTATTATTATTTTTATTTAAATCTTTATATTTGTTTGTGTTAGTGAAATGCACAGAAAATGCCAGAGGTATCTAAACTTTCTTATAGTTGCGTAGCTGAAACAGAACATTAAATGAGTTCTAATATAATGTAAGAAAGCCCAAATGCATGAAATATTTTCATCATGAAATTGAATTTATATATTTAATTTATTTTTACAAAAAAAAAAAAAAGCGCTTTGAACAGATAGGCTACTCATAAAAAGTGCAATAAAAAGACAGTTACTTTAAGCGTTTTCCAAAAGTAAAATATTAATATTCCATCTCACGTTTTACTGGGACAAATCAGATGTATAGAAACACACCTTGTATTAAATTAGGCATCTGAATGGACAGCAAAACAGTTAAAAGCGGTCATTTTTAGATATGAACACCACGCTACCGTTTCATCGGGATTACACGGAGCCCACCACAGGTCTAATGCATCAAATTATGACATGCGTTTCAAGCGACTCACAGGCTCAAACTCTCCGATTAGTAAAGGCAGCAAACAAACGTCCTTTCTGTCGCCATGTAATGGTTTGTGAGCGCCAATAAGTGCCTACTATTCAGAAGATTACAGTCATCTGTGATAACTGCAAAATAATAAAAACAAAACGCCCGGGGGTGGGGGAACGGAGGACTACAGTTGGACCCAACCATCAGCAAATTAATGTAAAAGTATTAGAAAGAAAGAAGGACTAAGGGAGGACGTCAGCTGTCAAAACGTATTTTGCTCGTTAAATGGAGGATGCGAGGCTGCGGTGATGGCTCTTTGGCTGAGAATGAAGTGTCTGAGGGAAAACAGATGCTCTGGACAGAGAGAGTCTGCCTTAATCTCCCTCTAAGGAACGACCTCAAACAAAACAAAACGCAAACATTCATTTAGAAATAACCGTAAAACGCAGGGGAATTTTCGCAGTCCCTCTTGAGTGCCTGTAAATGGTTTTAATTGCAAAAAAAAAAAAAAAAAAAAGAACTTCCGTAGTGTTTCGTCAAAGTGCGACTTCATAAAGTTTTATTAAAAGAAACGATTGTCTGAAACGTCAGTACAGTCAGAACCTGATGAAAAACATATATTCAAGTGATTATTAAACCAGTAGGCCAAAAATAATAGGGTAAATCTATGTAATAATGACAGAAAAAAATATGCAATTATTCGGACAATTTAAATAAAAACGAACAGAATTGCATAAACGACAGAATGAAATAAATGCGTTGAAAAAAATTATATCATAAGTTTATTCACTATCAGCTGAATAAAGATGATGACACAAAATTTGCTGTAGAAATACAAAGCCAAATCCTTCAGCAACACCCAAAACCACACGAGCTGCTGTTTGATTCGAGTATGAAATCATTTGGATTTTATTTAACAGCGATATTTATAGTACAGTGGAATAAATAAACCGGTGATGCTCATACAATAAAGACGTGAAACGTAAATATGCGGACAAGAAAAGCCTTCCTTCTAACTATACAATAAATATTAAAGTCCTTAAGCAAATGTACAGGATTGTGAAGATGGTTACTTTAAAAAACGTCTTAAACAGTAATAAAAGCAAATAGTAATAAATTACACTGATCGTGACTGCTTCTGAAAATAAAGTTTTTTTCCAAGCCTCCAACAGTGAAATGAAATGTACAACACGACCGTTTATTTTTCTATATGCACTTGCAGTATTTCACTCTTCTCACTAAAGCAAGCTCAATGTTTGGTAAACATATTCAACAAAAAACACAAAATATATTTTTGAAAACAAAACAATATTTGAGTCCCCCTTCTCAAATATTCTACACGTATAAAGTTGAGTAATTAAAACATTTCAGTTCGTTAGAGGAGAATGTTGACAGATTTTCTTAAAACTGAAATGTGATATGATTTTGAAACCAAATCCTATTCACAAACAGGAAATGTCCCCAGTTTAAATGCTGTACCGAAACTTTGAGTTATAATTTCCTGTAAGAAATTGAAACACATTCGGAAGGCTTTGAATGCTTTAATGTTGAGATTAATCAAGAATTAGAATGGATTTAACTATTTAGTCAAAGTTTTCAAAATTGTACAGCTTTGCATCTCCTCAAATATTAGTTCCTTAAGTACCTTGTTTGTGAAATCCAACAAAGCAAACCTAATAATAATAAAGTTTTTGTATTCGTTTATGTGAAATAATAAATCTCTCAGGTATTAATAAAACAGGATGCATCCCAGGGCATTCAGCAGTTCTTAAGCCCTTAATGATAACAAACAGATCTACATATGAAGATTTAAAACAACAATAATAAAGTGTATGCTGTGGTCTCTATGACAAAAATACATTTCAAGACTTTGTAATGTACGTCATCTTGCTCCTTTTTTGCTTGGGAAATGGCCGTCACTGAAGAACACACTTCTCCTCTTTCTTTGCCATCTTGCCTTTGTTCTGTTCCAGGGTTCTCTCCAGGTGTTCGTCTTCCTCCTCAGCCCTACCGACACACACACAGGATCAAAGGTCATGGACACGGACACAGGAGAATGCCACCTGCACCTCCAGCACCAATGACCTGCACTGTGTCTGAACAGCTTCAGAGTCATTTTGGCTCTTGAAATATTCACAAGGCCTCTCTGCCTGACTCCATCCCCCCCACAAACCACCTAAACATGCTTGGTGGCAAAGCGAATGTGGGTGACTGCAAACTTTGGCCTTTAAAACCCTCTCTGAACCACGCTATAGGGCCTGGAGAACTAATCCTGGCTCTGACAATCCCACAATGCCTTGCAACAAGGAAGACTTACTCTTTCTCCTGGGCATCTAGGTCTCGAACCAGTGCGTCACGTTTGTTGACCAGTATGACCAGCTCATCCAGCAGCAGCTGCTCTCTGCGTTTTTGCGCCTCCGTCTTCTGCCAGTCTGGAAGATGGAAAGGAAAAATGGAATCCTGGAAACAAGACTTAAGGGGATAGTTAATCCGAAAATGACAGTTCTTTCATCATTTACTCACCCTCATGTCATTCCTAATTTGAAAAATAGCTGTTTTTTGTGTCCATACAATGAAACCCATTGGGCTCCATTGACTTTCAAAATATCGTATTTTGTGTTCCACAAAAAAAAAAAAAGTCATACAGGTTTGGAATGACATGAGGGTGAGGAAATGATGCCAGAATTGGTTGAACTATCCCTTTAAAGACAGACATCATATACTGGCTCTTAGTGACAAAGACATCACAGTCCCGTGATCAAATATTCAGAAAAAGAAAATGTAGACCGTAATGTTGTTGAGTTATTGTGAAGTTGTACCAGGGCACCCACAGGTGGGTATGTATGGAGAGCAGCCACATGGTGGAATTCAGACAGAAAGGATCTGATAACACGAGTGAATGCGAGGACAGTACATTGAGTACACTAATTGCTTTCAGACGCCTCAAAACGGCTCCCGAAGAGACACACTGATGCCATTTCTAAGATTGAATCGCATATAAATACATTAGAATTCAGATTTTTTTCACTTAATCACACAGTTCCATAATCTGGAAAAAAAAGGACTTAAATGTTTAAGTCCATATGTGGTTTCTGAAAACAAATGACATAAATCCAAAGTTTAAAAGGTGTGTGACTATAGCGAAGGTCTCTGTGAGGTGACCTGCTCCTGTCTTCCCTGCCAACAACGGGTCTGAAATATCAGCCAGGCAGACGAGATCAGGCCTTACTGATACCAGTGCAGATTAGGGCCCTGCTCACAGCCAAGGGGAAGTTATCTTGCCGGGCCTATTCTTCAGCCCGCTTTAAGAACAGACTGTACTAGTGTTTTTACACTGCTTTATTAGTGCTCCCTCATGCACACAGACTCACAAAAACACACACACACAAAATCAACTTCTCTTGTTATAGGGAGACTAATTTTGACACATTCGACCTTCTGAAAAGTCTACCCTTAAAATAAGTGTATTTCATTAGAATTAAATATTTCTGTTGCAGTTGTGAGAAATTGCAGTGTGGTGCTGAGAGCGCCGTTGGTCCTAAAAGCCCTTCTCCTTGCTCTCGTTTAACCTCTTTGGCTTTGAAGTGAAGCACAGTGGCAAAATGAACACAGTTCCAATATTTGAAAGTTATTTGGCCCCCAGCAGCTAAATGAAAGTCTTTGGTGTTCAGAGAGGCTAATGCTAAATATTTGAGAGGATTTGTCTCAGCTTTAACAAATTTGCAGAATTTTAAAAGCTGCAGGAAGGAAAATGAAAAAGGGGGATTTTGTACTTTAAAAAGCAATTTAGTGAAAAACAAACAAATATGAAGTTGAATTTTCTGTTATACTAGCAACGCAACACAGGCCGGTCGTTTCCTGTGTGCCCACAGTGCTGACCGCATTTAACATCCTACAGGCCAGACTGTTTATCCTGCATCGCTCTCCATACGTTCTCTGTCTTTCACGACTCTCCTTTTAATTCGCTCTGTCGTTTCTGCTACCCCTCTGTCAAAAACGACAATGCCTACTTCACAAAGACCTGCCTGGAGGCTACGACCAACAAAAACTTCTCCTGCATGTCCCAAAGAGGTAGAGAGAAAAAGCCCCTCAACTCTTTACCTCCTCCTCCTGTTCCCCTTCAGCATTCTCAGCCAAAAAGCCACAGATCCTCCCCTGCACCTCCGGCAGAGGACGCATGCAGCTGTCAATCAAGCGGGAGTGGCACCGCCTCCCTCATTAAGAAGGTAAACAATGAATATGGACACAGAGGGACACGGCAGAGTAAACGAGCAATCGCCAAAAAACACTAACGGAAGCTGCTGCCTCCTTCTTCTCTCTTTTCCTCAAAGAAGTGATGGATGAAGGCTATTTGGAGATGGAGATGGTGGTGTTGGTGGGGGGGTCAATCCTTTTTGGATTACTCCCCTCTTTCTCTCTCTCTCTCTCATTGCCCTGGGCAATCACGTTAAAACTCACATGGTTGGTGCTTATTCAGATAACCCTAACAATGCACACCAATGGTAACCATGTGAGCACTCACAACCCACAGAAGAATGCGCTGGTTCAAATCCCCATGACCCTCCTCCACAGCAAAATTTATTCAAGAGTGCAACCTGCTCGGCAGCTTCAGGAGGCACAGAGCTTCTTCTGAGAGTTCTGCTGAAATATCACTAAACACAAACTTCACACACATGCTCTGCTCGCTTTAGTGTACGGACACACGAAGCAAACTTTTGGACACAATGGAGAGTTTTTTTGGTTAGAACTTTTTTCGGAGGAAATAAGAGGAAATATGTAGTGTTGGAGGAATCCAGGGAAAAATGCATGATCTTATTACAGCAGATTTGGGCGAGTCTTGGGCAGGCTGGGAGCTCCGGCGTAAGATGGAGCTGGAGAGAAGCCAGCTGGGAATGAGACAAAGACCAACATGGAAAACCATGACAAGGAGGATGATGGGACAACAGTTCCTGGATTCTTACCACGCTATCCCCAAACCACATCTCCCATCTGCTATATCAGATACAAATAAAGTGACTATCAAAAACAAACCAAATACACAATGTCTTTGTCTAAATGTTTGAATCACTAATCTGCATCTTGTGTTTTTGTGCATGCATATGAGTGATGTAACTAATTTGGTTTTTGAGAAATGGGAAAAAATTAAACTACGCGAGGTTAAAATGCTGAGGAAAAACAACCTGTACATCATTTCAGTAAAATTATACAGCATATCATTTATGATATCAACTACTGCCAAATACAGATAATTATCACTTAAATCCAAATGGTTTTAAGAAATTCTAAATGCAGGAAACACAGCCGACTACACAAATACAATCATCTATTAGGTGCAGTAATATAAAAGTGGACATTGAGAGTCAAATGCAGAAAGCGACAGCTAAATGGAAATGAATACAGATTTCAGTGAATAGTGTAGAATGAGAAAGTGTCGTCTCGCCTTATCTCCAGTTCCAGTCAACTAGCAATCTTGAAAGAGTTTGCAACATCATCAAAGCCGGCCATTTGATAGGATTCTCACACTGCACCCAATCAATCTGAGGAATACGGCAGCCCAGACATGTAACAAAGCTCAAATAGATTTACAAATGGGGTTGTAGGGGGATAAGCCCTTGCACAGGATTACATATTGATTTTAAACATATAAAAAAGCTTATCATATAAAACCGTAACAACAAAACTGGGGGACCTATGCAGAAATCCCTCTGCAAAAAGGAGCGTCCACTTTCAAATATAACGCCCCGGAGTGCACCGCATTTGAGGAAAGAAAGAAATAGGGAGAGGGGAGGGGAAAAAAAGACGAATTTGAGAGAAAGCGTGTGTGCATGGCAGGCAGATAAAAAGGGCAAAAAGGATCAATTTAGAAGCAGAGAAATAGGAGTCATGGCATATTGTGGAAGGCCTCGCCACTTTTCTTTGCCTCCCCACAGCGGAGCACAGACTGAAGGGGTTATCGTTTAGCTGACATTAACACTCACCCTGTTTGCTCTACACATTTAACTGAATCCTTCCCGTCTTTTAAACCTGCCTTTAATTTCTAAAATATTTTCTTTCCCTTTCTGGTGTCCACAGGCTTCAGCTCTAATAGTGTGTAATGCAACAGGCAACAAGTGTACCTGAATTTAAGTCAGTGAGTAATGATATCTACAGTATTAATATTTATTTAAAACAGAGCAAACTGATCCAACTGACAAAGGTTGTTCCATATGTCATGCTAGTCAGGGATAATCTATCTATCTATCTATCTATCTATCTATCTATAAAACCTTCAAATGCTTTAAAAATGTTTAAATAAGGCTTTGCTGAACTAAAATTTAAAGTTTGTCTTGATAAACTATGGCTTTCTAGTTAAAAATTAGTTATATGTACTCCTTTTAATTGTACTTTATACTCAAATGTAAATTCAAAACTCAATTCTGCATCCTGTTTGCCACCTCAGTTGCTGTGCACTTATTTGAGCAGTCAGCATGAAAACATTTAGGACACTTAGAATGGAGAAATCAAATAGTTGATGACATTTTGTGAAAAAAAAAAGATATGTAAAATGCTCTAAATGTTACTCAAACCTCTCCATGAGTCATCAATATGAGGCTTCAATATTACTCATCTCCAGGTCACAGTGACTAGATTCTCCTCTGCACAATCGTGGGGTCAAGAAGGGTGAGTATTTTTCTCTATCAGCAAGGGAGTGTGCACTGATATATGAGAAAGAGTGTGTGTGTGTGTGCGCCTGTCTGAACGCCTCAGCCGCTACACTGCCAATGTCATCAGCTGACCAAGCAAATCAGCAATTACCTGTCTGCATTGGCTGGGCGTGAGAGCCCGTTGGGGCTCCAAATAAGACACGGACCTCCTCACCAGCAGCTCAGAACTATCTCTGACTCGCTTCAGAAACACCCTGACTCTGAATGCCAAGTGCTGAGCCTCATGGGAGAAAGAGAGAGAGAGAGGGAGCAAGGGAGATAAAGTGAGAAAGAGAGAAAATAACTGTGAGTGATAATTCAACAGGTAGCAGTGTGTGGACTGATAGGGTTGTTACAAGCAGCAGGGACTGAATTACCACTGCCGTGGACGGACCCCGTCACCCTTGCACATCCAGACCAATATTTGTAACTCACTCCATGTTCACTGATAAGTGGACACAAGGCTGAGGCACTTCAACATCTGAACGTTATTAGCTTAAATTCTTTTTATCGGGCTCAGCATTTAGCGTTCAGTATCATGGCGTCTCTCAGCATGGAGGAATCTTTCAGAAACAAGACAGAAGCATGTCAAAATATTGAGATGAACCATGTTGATCTGCCACGGTGAAGCCCTGGAGGTGAGAAAGCATGTGGCGAATACGGGGAGCATCACAATATGGGGAGCTATGCTCTCTGCTTGGCTATTCATGTCCACTGTCAACCTCTCCGAACTAATTAGAATTGATTTATGATGGATCAGCTAGCTTATCAGGAGCAGGAAGAAATTACCATGGCTAGCCAAGGGGTGAGAGGGTCACCATCGAATTGTAAAATCAATTTGCATTGATTGTAAAAGGTTAATTTTGCGAAAGAGGACACAGTCAAAGGGATTAAACTTAACCAGACAACTTTGATACCGCACAATAGGCTTTATTTTTTACTTTCCTTACCTGTCTGTATAACACACTCAAAAAGCTTATGCGAGTGCGTTCTTTGACACCCCGAGGCACATCACAGAGATTTAATATTGACGTGGAAGTGACATCTGCACTTTTGGCTGTAATACTTACGGTTTAGAGAGTAAATCATATATATTGTGTCCAATCCAAGGGTGAATTTGTAAGATCTACATTAATAAAGGGAGCTAAAACAATTGGCAGCGCTATTGAATCAGGGCTGGGTGGGCGGAACCACATCTGAGGTGTCAAAGAGCAGGTTTAATTAAGCAGGAGAGGATCTTTGCCTTTCACAGAGCACCTCACAAATTCACCCCCAAATCCCTCTTTCACTCCCTCTTACCTTCAATCGCCAGCATTGCCCTTAATTCTCGGTTTAGTAGCTCAAAGCGTCTCTCCAGATCGTGTTCCTTCTCCCTGGGCAAGTTGTAAAAGTTCATCAATATGTTAATTACTAAATCATTAAACACTTAAAGAAACCTTTAATAAACATTGATTCGTGAACTCGCCAACACCTTCCCTACCTCACATTAATCTACTGCAAATAAGTGATACACAAACAGGAACAGAGGGGGCCGAGAGCGGGGAAACGGCGGTGGGGGGGAAAAGCGGGCGGGCGGTTGGAGTATCACGCGGCAAATTAAATTTCGCCACTTTCAAATGTATTGGAACTGAGCTAACTCTGTCCCTAATAGAATTTGTCCTTCACAGCCTGTTCAGCGACTAAAAAGAAATGAAAGAAAGAGAAATTATCAAGGCCCTTTTAATTGAGCACTTAAAAAGCCCTTTTCCAGTGATATAATGTGATTAGAATACTTCAATCTGTCATTTGTGAGAGCTTTGATACTCTGTCTCTTTCTTCTCCTCTCTCTCTCTCACTCTTTATGCAGAATGAACAGCTGCCCAGATTTCTGTACGTCTCACTCTCACTTTTAAAGAAAAGGATGAAAGGTTTAAAAAATGAGCATTATCATCTTTTGAGGCAAAAAAAAAAAAAACTGTCAAAGCAGTTAAAAAAAGAGGGTAAATATGTGGGTTATTGTCATAATGGCTTCCTCTTTTAGATGAATGAAGTCATTTTTTCAATTCTTCTTTTTTTTTGGTCGATCCAATTCTCATAATGGGTGGAATAATACAGTCTTTGAAATCACATTATTGCAGACGCGTCCGTACTGATTTGCCATTTTGTCTGCTTTACGGTGGAGGGCCGCTGTGGGAGGGGTGGAAGTGAATGAGGGGCCCGACCTTCTGACTGGGCTCAGGTCTCCTGGGAAAATCATTTCAAGTGTGGGTCTCAACATATTATAGGTGTGTGTGCTCAGAGACTACCGCTTCCATTGGTAAGGGTTGGAGAAAGAGAGAAAGGGTAAACATGAACTCACAGCAGAGAGAGCTGGTTCTGTCGGCGGATCAGAGCGTTCTTCTTATTGACAAGCGTAAACCATTCCTGCATCATGGATTCTTCCTCTTCCTTATTATTCTCTGAAGACACACATACACAGAAAACCTTAGCATGTAAAACTTTATTATAACATTCTTATCATATTAAAAAAACATTGATGTGATGCAGGGTTTTTTAAACTAGGTCTGGGGACCCCCAGTGGGCCATAAATCGGTGCTAGGCCTGCATCAAAAAACAAAAAAAAAAACAACAACAACAACAACAACAACAACAACCTTAAAATAAAATACCTTAAAATATCTGGAAATATCTTAAATTATCTTGAAATAAAATAAATAACATTAAATAAAATAAAAGTACAGAATTGAACATTTTTACCATTTCATCATGAGATTAAATAACAGATTATTTTTGTATATAGTCAAAAATTCTCACTAATTACTCAGGCATGCTACATGTCTATAGATAATAATTAGCCAACCATTCACGTTCCTGCCAGTTAAACCTCCATAAAACAATTTAATTTCCAAAGTCTCACCCAGTTCTTTAAACAGACACCTTAACAGAGAGAAACACACACACACACACACACACACACACACAGACTTTTGACCGACTTTCTCTGGCATGGATAAGTTAAGCACTTTTCTCACTCCTCCAACCAGTATAAAGTGCATCAAACAAGATTATCTGACCGGCTTTTCTCAACATCGCAGACTCACACGCATATTAGGAAGCCATCCAGATATGTGTTGACTACCTACTGTACATATTAGACACTTCACAAGGTACTGCCATTGTCAGTAAAACAGAGATGCTTCTGGATTAGAGCAGGATTAATGCAGGTCTGTCTGTCAGGCTGGTCTTTGTGAAGCCTCAGAGCTTCAGATCTGATGTACAACCAAAAGAACATGTCCTGTGCCCGAGGCCTACATGTGCGGATGCAGAACTTACATAGTCAGAAACTACAGGTAGGGGCTCATTGCTCAAGTGACAACTAATAAACTCAATTACTCTGTTTAATTTTCCTGGTAAAAATCAACTGTTCAAATTCACTGACTCACGAGTGAGTGTATATGTATCTGCATATCTGGAGTGCAATGTACAGTAATGTTTGAAAGTTTGGGATCAGTACGATTTTTTTTGTAAATTAATACTTTTATTCAACAAGAATGCAATAAATTGATCAAAAAAGACAGCAAAGACTTTTATGTTACAAAAAGTCTATTTCAAACAAATGCTGCTCTTTTGAACTATAAGTATGCATTATGGTTTCCACCAAAATATTAAGCAGCACAACTGTTTTTAACATTGATCATACAAATGCTTCCTGAGCACCAAACCAGAATATTAGTATGATTTCTGAAGGATCATGTGACACTGAGGACAGAAGAAGTAATGACTGCTAAAAATTCAGCTTTACCATTACAGGAAATAATGAATACATTTTAAAATATATTCAAATACAAAACAGTTATTTTGAAATTATAATATTATTTTACAATATTAGTGTTTGTACTGTATTTTGGATCAAATAAATGCAGCTATTAAAGGCATTAAAAAAATCGTACCGACCCAAAACATTTGAAAAGTAGAGTAGAGTAGTTTCATCGCAGAAAGTTAATAATGCCATGAGAGATAAAGATTTCACGTTTTGTTGTTTTTGTCTGACTAAGCGATGCCATCTCAATTCAAAACTTTATTTGACCTCAGCAGGTATCAAAGGAAAGCAGACACTATAGGGTTTGGTAGTTTGGGCTGTGGGGTAAACCGGTTAAGTGGGTTCAGGAAGAATGACTCCGATGTCAGTATTCTGAGCATTTTTGTGACACTAATTATGTCTTTGAAGAGGGATGAAAGAGGAGAAAAGATGAAAGAGCCTTTAAGCTTATGTAATCACATCACCTACTCTGTGCATCTGTGATACCTGTCTGTTCCTGACAGCATCGACAACAGAATTAGCATCAGTACACAAACACGCTCGCTCTTTTTACAAATGTGAGGACTTTAAGATCAACTTTTGTAGATCTTAAGATGATAATTACAGTGCCACACCATTAAATAAAAATGTGCATTTGAGTGATCTTGGATACCCTTGATGTGCATTTAATTGTCTGTCTTACACTAAGACAATTATACTTAATATTTACAGTCATATTATACTGTCAAATGAGGTTATTAAACCAAAAAGGTATGAGAAGCCATAGCATATTGTGAATATAGAGCTGTGAAGTATTTGCAACTTCTTCAGTCATGATTATATTCAATAACAGCATGATCTTAAGTGTTTATATGCTTATTACTATATATTAAAAATAAAAATAAAAACAAATTTTTAGTAAAATCTAAAGACTATATCTTTTTGGCTAGAAGATATAGTCATAATGCAACAAAAATGGGTACAGTGTAATGAAATGGTGAACAGGTGTTTCATGTCATAGATGTTACTATATTGTGAATTTCAGCACAACTAGAATGCCGTACTGACCAATCAGAAGCCAGGACTGGATCTGTTTCAAAAACAAGCAGTATGACAGTGTGTGCGTCTGTCTGTGTGCACAGAGCCATTACGAGGACGAGGTGGGGTGACAAAGGGCGGTCCTTCAATAAGAGTCTGATGTGGGAACTTGCACCTCGGATCTTTTTTCCATCATGCTGTTGCTTGGCACCATGTGACTGTGACGCTGGTCATGTGAGAGAGACAAATCCGCTAGCCACAACAAAGCCAGCGGCGGCCCACGGTGGGACGATGGCCCTGCCACTCACCCCCACCAAAACTCCCCGGCCCTCCATCAGGGGAGCCACTCTCATGTCTGCCAGTGCCAGATGTGTGAAATTCTGTATTTGACGACAACGCAGAGTAGAAGGGAGGGAAAAAAAGAGGGGGTCCGGGATTTAGGAATCAAGCCTGGATTATTGTAGTCAACTTTTAAATAGTGCAGCTCGGAAGGGATAAAGTATGCAGTGACAGGTCATTGTAGCGACGCACAGTCAAATGAAACAAGCAAATAATAAATGGTAATATTAAGCTTGTGTGACATTGTAAGGGAATGACGGATTAGCAGCAGCATCCCGGAGGCCATTGCCGGAGCTTCAGCACTGACAGAGCCCTGACAGCATGAAAGAAGTCCTCGCTTTACCACTAAAACAAATAACACGCACACAAATACATTCTACAGCGCCAACACTTAAACTATGACATTTGCTGGGGACGACCTAAATAACTGATGTCCTGAAATTGCAAAAAGAAAAAACAAACTTGCAGTTTTTTTCTTTTTAATTTAGATTCATCTGACTTAAGGTCATGTGAAATCACCACCGCTATTTTAGCATCATTGAGATACTATTATAGTTTTTACTATTATTTTGAATGAGTTTTAATTTTTATATTATCCATCTTCATTTTAATATATACGTTTTTGTAATTGTCGTTGTTTTTGTCATTTGTAGTAGTATTTTTTTAAATGTCTATATAGTTTTTATTCATTTTATTTCAGTTTTAGTTTCTACATCAAGTTAAACTAAATTAAAACGAGAAATGTTGCCTTAAAAAAAACTTTATAACTGAAGTTTGACAAAATGAAATAATATTTATTTTTATATAATAAATATTTTTTATATTTAATTTTTTTTTTCAGTTAAAGTTTATTTTATTTCAAGGAACAATTTTGTTTTAATGGTTTTAATTTTAGTTTCAGCTTTAGTTTACTATAACAACCCTGAAGATCACAGTTAAAAATGCCACAATTCATAGTTTACAGTTTAAAATAAATCAAAATATCTCCATAGTACTAAAGTTTCACAAATATATTGAATGTAGTGACTTTTTAACCCCAAAATATGGCATTTTGATGTCTGGCTGCATCCCTTTGTGTGGTTGAACACTTTTTTTCTGCTAAATAAATGTAATAAATTTGAATTTATTAATTATAGAAATAGTTTTTTTGTTGAAGTGTATATATCTGCACTAAAATAATATTATTTTAAAGGACTGAATGGTTTTGTGCAATTCTATATAATATACTACATCTAGAAAACATCTATATTACACAGAAATTGGCATTTGTAAAATACAAATAATAAAAAAAAAGTTTGCAAATAAAAAACAAATTATATAAACAATTCTAATAAATTATCTCAAACATTTCATGAACTTTATAAAAATTATTTTCACATGATTTATTTTCTTCAGAGCACTAAATAAAATCTAATGAAAACTAAACAGAACCTGCTTCTTCTTTAGCCTGGCTGATCATTCCCAATAGCATTCACTTTGGAATGAAGAAAGGTAGTACAAAACTCAAGAGAGACTGTCACACACCCTACAGTCCACACATACACGAGCATGAGGGGCCAGGCTCGTCTGGTAGGCCCGAGGGTCTGTGTCCATGGCAGGGTGATCTGGCCCCAGTAGCCGAATCAGATTAAGATAGTCATCTCAGCTAATGCTGCATTCAAAACAGATAGCATTAATGAAATCCTAATACATTTCACAATCTTCCCCTCTTTCCTGCTAAGCTTTACTGATTATTTACTGCTACAGCACACACACATAGACGAAACAAACCGTAAGTCACCCAAATGTGAAGTTTCATGTGAATATTTTTAGGTTACATCAGCTAGATATATATACACCTGTTAAATTTCAAATACACCTCAAATAGCTCCAGACATGACTGACATGATTCCAAAATATCAATTAATTATCCGAGCTGCTTTAGCAACTGTTCTAAAAACCACAACTTGATGATATTTGGAAAAGATGAGTGTACAAGATCTTCCCAAAAGTTTCCAGAATGCCTAAATATGATTTTCATTTTCAAGGCATGTAATTAGGCAAACGCTGTGAATAGAAAATTAATTATGTGAATTTAAAGTTCTATTTTTTTTATTTTTTTATTAGAACCTTATTTAGATATTTACAGAATGATAAAAACCAAATAACTCTGAAGTAAACCTCCGCAACAGGGGGATTGTTTTGCTTGGCATTTTGTTTAATTAGAAAATTCCCCCTCATTTGATTTAGATAAAAATCTTTCTAAAGCATTAAGAAACCAGAACAATTACAAATTAATCCTGA